AAGCTAACAGGTTAGCAGCATCAGTTAAACTAACAGGAAGCTAACAGGTTAGCAGCATCAGTTAAACTAACAGGAAGCTAACAGGTTAGCAGGTAAAGCGGCTCACGGGTGAAGTGGTTGAGGCAGGAGACATCTATAATTTTCCCTCGGAACTTCATGTTGATCTGTGGCCGTGAAACGACGCTGGAAGTCGGCGAGATGTTCACATTCAGCCGGAAGACTTCACTGCCGCGGTTGTTTTGATTCGGTCCGTGCGGTCAGAGGTCCGTGGGAAACACGCAGCCGATCAATACTTTCCTACCGATCCCATTTAAATACATTTGACTTAAAAACACGATTTGTTTTATTTTCATCCTTTTCTCCCAGTGCACAATGTTCGAAGCGTTTTCTGATGATTTTAGCCAAAGTTTACATCCATAAAATTAACTTCCCGAAAAAAAATTAATCTTAGTAAAACAAGTGCGAACACGTATCTTAAAAAACAGATTTAAAAACCTGAAATGAAAAACAAACCAAAAGCAGTAGAAATAAACTTCTAGAGTAAAACTGATCATGAGCGTGTGAACTTTCTCGGGGTGACCTTTAACTTTTCTCATTACAAATAAAGGCTTGATCATTATTATTTGCTCAGCAAATCAAGATCTTCTCTGTAATCTCTGAGCTTCCTGCGGCTGATTCCTCTGTAAACTAAATATAAAATATAAATAATGATCCTCCTCCTGCTTTATTCTCTTAATTTGTTGTAATGATTTGTTCATAAGAATGAAGCAGCTCTGAAATCTATTGGCTCGCACCTCAGACCAGTGACCAATCACAGACGGTCTCTGTCTCTCTTCTCTTGGTCCTATTTGTTTCTTTAAACTCAAAAGGACTAGTTGGTACTAGTTCTGTTTCCCTATTTTATTTAATTCCCTTGTTTGTCTTTATGTATTCATCCTCTTCCTAATGATTAACTCATCCAAACCAACAACACCTGTAAAACCCAGCGTACGTGTAAGTTCTCCTGCAGGTAAATATCAGACATGTAAAACCACAGTCACTTTCTTTAGTCTTCCAGCAGATGGCAGCTCGTTCACATGGTGAAGTGGATTTATGGCCTGAGGACTCTGTCTCATCCGGGTCTGGTTTCCTGTTATCTCAGATCCTGCCGAGCTTTGGCCAACCTGAGAGGAACATCATCACAAACTGACCTTTGACCTCTACAAGCTGCACCCTTAAGACTTCCTGTGCTGCCTCAGCCTCAAGGCCACCCTGTACAAGATGTACACGTCGACCTGTGCTGGGCATCACAAGTTTGATACCTGACAAAACAATCTCACCCCTCAGCCGCTGCTCTGGAGCTTTCAGTCACATCACATGGTCTTCTTCAGACCGGAGGTGTTTGATTTCCATCCAGACGTGTGTTTGAGCTCCATACCAGAAATAATCTCCAAATTATATAAATATATATAAAATCTAAATCTGTATTTATAGACCTCCACCGGTCATCGTTGTGTGTAGATTAAATCACTCCTGTTTAGACTGATGATAAGTCGACTACAGAAGACGATGAAGTGTGAAATCTAAATGTTTTGTAGAAAGAAAAAAAAAGAGAAATCATTAAGGTACATTGTTTTTCTTCATGTTTAGATTAGATTAGTACTTTATTCATCCTACAACAGGGACATTTACTTGTTACAGCAGCAGAAACAAAGTGTAGTGTACACTACAGAAATTAAAATGGAAAAGGTAATAATACAAAAAAACAGACAGAATTTTCTGTAACCTACACAGTAAAAAAGAAAACAATGGACCTGCAAACAGACAATGTGCAAAAGGCTTCTGAGGATAAAAGAGTGGCCTGATATAAAAGTATTGTAATGTAAAGTATATAAGTAATATTGAAAAGTAAGTGACCACGACATGAGTCTTGTTGTTCTTATTCTCTTTATTTGTCTTTTGTCAAAGTTCTTCTCCTTTTTCTCACAATTCAGAATTTAAAGTCAGAATTCAGTTTTTATTTGTAGAATATAAATAATGAAATGCTGCTCATTAATATAACACGTGCATGACGGTGCGTCAGCGTTTAGATTCAATTCAAACCGAGCACGCGTGTTTTCTGCTGACGTGCACGAACTGGACTCCCCACGGGGGGTGGGGGCGTGGGGCGTGGGGCGTGGCCTCGTGAACGCGCATGAGAGGAGGAGGTGAAGACCTTCAACAGACAGAGACTCCAGCTGAGACCCGAACTCACCCGAACTCACCCGAACTCACCCGAGCCCACCCGAGCCCAGACCGAAAGATGAGAGAAATCGTGCACATCCAGGCGGGACAGTGCGGGAACCAGATCGGAACCAAGGTACACGCACGCGACGCCGACGTCACATTCAGAGTCCACAGGGACATTTAAGACTCGAGCGTCTTCATCTGTTGCTGCTGAGATCAGCTTCAGAACTTCTCCACAGAAATGATCCAGAAGATTCTCTCAGAGGAGACTCGGGTTCATTCAACTGTCACAGGAAACTGGATTTCTACATTTCAACGTGTTTGTGATTATCATTCAAAAATCACATTTAGATGAGCAGTTACATTTTCTCAATGTGACCATCACTCACTCAGATTAATACTGTTAGTATAACAATATGACACACAACGTACTGTGTGTGTGTGTGTGGAGGAAATAATGATGAATATTCCTAACTGATGTAAAAATAAACTCATCAGTGATGAGTATGATGGAAAAATCTGCAGCTGTGGCTCAGTGATGAACTCTCACACACACACACACACACACACACACACACACACACACACACACACACACACAGACACACATCGAGCAGGTTGAAGAACCACAAAGACAAAATGTTTGGTTCATATTAAAACACAGAAACACAATCAGCCCTTTTCTTCTTCTTCTTTTTCATTGCTGCTGTGACCCGGTCAGTTCTGGGAAGTGATCAGTGATGAGCACGGCATCGACCCCGCGGGAAACTACGTGGGTGACTCAGCTCTTCAGCTGGACAGGGTCAACGTCTACTACAACGAGGCGTCCTGTAAGTACGACAGAGGTGTGAGTCTCTGTGAGTCAGCGTCTTTTCAACACAGAACCAAACACAGCTTCTGACTGCTCCTTTAAATATTTCACTTCTTCTATGTGTAAATCTTTTATTTCTAAATGTCATTAGATTGAAAAATCAGATTTATGAATGTGGGCTGTACGAATAGAGTTTGATTGATTGATTGATGCGTTCGTTAGACAGGAAGCAGACTGACAGGACAGTGTTCTGGTCTTCTCTGTGTGTGCAGCACATAAATACGTCCCCCGGGCAGTGCTGGTCGACCTGGAACCAGGAACCATGGACAGTGTTCGCTCAGGAGCCTTCGGACAACTCTTCAGACCGGACAACTTCATCTTCGGTAACAATCACCTGGGTTTTTATTCCATTCTGAGCCATTCGGTCTCTGAGGAATTCTACCTGTTGATGTCCTCTGAGCAGCTTCATGTGATCATCAATGAGTAAAAGTGAATCTGTCCAAACAGCAGAAGAAGAAGAAGCAGAGCGGCTGAAGTCCTCAGTCTGTCTCGGTCACACACAGAATAAAAATAGGTCACCAGTCCAACACATGTTCCCATCTGCTGTGGTGATGGTTTTACATTTCACTGATGGATTTTCTCTGTGCTGGTCGTCCACAGGTCAGACAGGTGCGGGGAACAACTGGGCCAAAGGTCATTACACGGAGGGGGCGGAGCTTGTGGACTCAGTCCTGGACGTAGTGAGGAAGGAGTGCGAGCACTGCGACTGTCTCCAGGTGACGACCACCAGCTCAGAGGAGGCAGAGATAATCTCACCGTCGTAGGCTGAGGAACATTTCCTTCTTTTATTATTGATTCACTGAATATCATAAGCTCCATTCATTTAGTAATTTGATTCATTCATTTATCACGACCTCTTCACGTCCTCACAGCAGCAGGTGGCCCAGGTTCACTAGATCCAGATTTGATTTAGATCTGCAGCGAATCACACTCTGACTTTTCTGGAGCTGAGAGTGAACCTCTTTGGTGAAGCTGTTGAACTCGACCCTCCAGCTGTCTTTTCTCTGTTTGTTGTGAAATGACGGAAATAAACTTTAAGTTGAAATTCTGTTTCAGGGTTTCCAGCTGACGCACTCTCTGGGGGGCGGCACCGGCTCAGGCATGGGCACCCTGCTGATCAGCAAGATCCGAGAGGAGTACCCCGACCGCATCATGAACACCTTCAGCGTCATGCCCTCCCCTAAGGTGCGACCCCGTCTGTTCCCCATGTTTCCCACCATCACGTGTTTTATATCTGATCTTGCTTTTGACACTTCAGGTGTCGGACACGGTTGTGGAGCCCTACAACGCCACCCTGTCGGTCCACCAGCTGGTGGAAAACACAGACGAGACCTACTGCATCGACAACGAGGCCCTGTATGACATCTGCTTCCGCACGCTTAAACTCACGACCCCAACCTATGGGGACCTCAACCATCTGGTGTCAGCCACCATGAGCGGTGTGACGACCTCGCTCCGTTTCCCCGGACAACTCAACGCGGATCTCCGCAAGCTGGCGGTCAACATGGTGCCTTTCCCTCGACTCCACTTCTTCATGCCGGGGTTCGCTCCTCTGACGGCGAGGGGCAGCCAGCAGTATCGAGCCCTCACTGTTCCCGAGCTCACCCAGCAGATGTTTGATGCCAGGAACATGATGGCAGCCTGCGACCCTCGTCACGGCCGCTACCTGACCGTGGCCACCGTCTTCCGCGGGCCCATGTCCATGAAGGAGGTGGACGAGCAGATGCTGAACGTCCAGAATAAGAACAGCAGCTACTTCGTGGAGTGGATCCCCAACAACGTCAAGGTGGCGGTCTGCGACATCGCTCCCCGGGGGCTCAAGATGGCCGCCACCTTCATTGGCAACAGCACGGCAATTCAGGAGCTGTTCAAGAGGATCTCTGAGCAGTTCTCGGCCATGTTCCGCAGAAAGGCCTTCCTGCACTGGTTCACGGGCGAGGGCATGGACGAGATGGAGTTCACGGAGGCGGAGAGCAACATGAACGACCTGGTGTCCGAGTACCAGCAGTACCAGGACGCCACCGCCAACGACGGAGAGGAGAACTTTGAGGACGAGGAGGATGAGATCAATGAGTGAGGCGATCGACGGGTAAAGGTCTGAGAGACCAACGTGTAATTCGAACAGTTCGAGTCAAACGAGTGATAATTGATTCTTTTGTAAACGTTTAAATATTGTCAGCAGCTGCAAAGCTACAGAGAGCGCTAGTTTCTCTCCACACTAACCACAGTCGTTCTTTAACTTTAACCACAGAGTGGATGTCAGACTTTCTGACTGTCTGTCCATCAGCTCAGTTTTTGGATCGTAAAGAAACCGTGTTAACCGAAAACACAACCATGAGTCGTAGGTTCACAAGATGCTAAAACTCTAAAGTGGAAAAATGATTGTTTCTTCAATACAAACAGACAAACACACAATTTACAGAATCATTTGTTCTGTGTGTCTGTGTGCGTGAGGAAGTTGTGAGCGGTTGAAATAAAAACGTTAAAGTGTGTTTTTGTGTTTCTGATCTTTTACTGACACGTGGATTGTTCTGCAGGTCGTTCATGGTCCCTCAGGATGATCTGTGAAAACTTTCATCCTTGTCCGACCTGTTGTTTTCTCATCAAACATAATGACTGCGCCGTGTCACACATTAGGAAATGTTAGAAACGTGATTCTCCCGTTCTTCAGAACCTGATATCTTTCACATATCTTGAGAGTGTTTCTTCAAACTTGGTACAAACGTTCTCTCGCACTCGAGGGAGGAGGGGCTAGAATTTGGTGATGAAACGTTAAAGTTCAGGACACAGAACTCTTTTTTGTGTCATGAATGTGTTATCTTAGGAACGCCTTGAGTGAATCCAAGGTCAGGAGGATTTTAAAAACAAATCCCTGTTCTTTAAAGTCTTCAAAGTTTTCCAGTGTGAGAGTAAAGTGTTCTTCCTGGTTGGACACAGCTCATATTTGACTTAACAAAACCCAGACATTTCTTTTCTTGCAATACAAAGTGCAGGAAGACGCCAGACTGCTTCCTGTTTGAGTTGGATGCTGCGTATTAAATCTCAGTTGAAAACTATTTCATGTCTGTGGTTTTCTTATCAAGCTCCTAAAACAGACCACATATTGTAATGTTTAATGTATTCTTCTCATTCGTTTGCATCGGGACCAAATTGTTGAGAGGAGCGTTTGTGGGTCTGTTTGAATTCCTCAACAGAAGATATTACAAAAGGTTTTGTCAGCAGAATGTCTGAAATGAACAGTAAACAGCAGTTTGGTTGAGGTCACTCACCTCCAGCCGTCACACAGACAGAGAATCAGCCCGTCAACAGTCTGTTAATCTCCCTCAGGCGCTGCAGCGTGTGTGAGAGTTGATTTCCCAGCAGTTCTGTTTGTGTTGTGGATTACGAGCAGCAGCGACGCTGGTGTCATGTCTGTGGGCCTGAGGTGACGAGAGTGGATCTGTTCAGCAGAACCACCTCGTGCACGTCGTCAGCATCAGAGTCACTGAACCAGATGCTGTTCAAAGCTCCAGTTCAAAGGTGGTTTCAGGGTGAAGGACCAGAGGACCACATGGGACCAAAGCTCAGTCCTCACGAGACTGAACCGTGTCCTGAGGTCAGGCTTAGACATGAGTGTGTGTGTGTGTGTGTGTGTGT